CATCAAGGGTAAAATCTAGTCCTTATTGTCTTCTTGTGTTCTTTTTCTATTCGATCATTTCTCTTCTCCTTGTCTTCTCTTGTGTGGCCGAATAGTTTTGGGTTCACACCTTGTTCTTTGTGAGCCTTCCTTGTCATTTTAGGTTTCCATTATTAGGTGTTGCCATGCTTTTCATTTTCTTGAGTCTCACATGAACTTGAAGAACATGCTATGAACATGCTTTTGATTTTTAAATCTACCTAAGTTTTGTCATCTTATGTTTCCTATATTTTGTCTACAAAAATTCCATGTATGTGCCAAACACTTTGCATGATTACATGAACAAAAAAAAAATATGCCATATTGCATGATATAGTGGGCGTGACATATAGCTTTCATTCTAGGAGTCATTCATGCATGCTACCTAGTCCTAGCATGTTCTATGTGATTTTTGATTTCCATGTGTAAACATTTCCTTGCACGTGCATAACCGCCCACTTTCCCTTGCATTCTCACTTGATTTAGTCAATTTTCTATGCCTAAAGAAACCCTAAAAGAATCTAAGAGGTGTGCTGAAAAATTTTGTGCAAACAACTTGTACTAGATAGTACAAGTCATTTTCCACTCAAAAGATACCCTAATCACCTCTAAAATCACGCCACTTGTCCTCCTCTCTTTCCCCTAAAATTTGACCTAATTTTCACCACCCACAAGTGCAAAACCTAAGCAACAATGGGCTGAATATTAAAGAAAAGAACTTGGACCCAAGGAACATCAAAATTTGGACGTGAAAATAGAACAAAAAAAAAAAGAAAAGAACTTGGACCCAAGGAACATCAAAATTTGGACGTGAAAATAGAACAAAAAAAAAATAGTATAAAAAAAAATTGACCAAAAAGGACTTGTTGCTAGGAAACCTAGAGTGGCCTCCACCTACACTTGGAGTGAGCCAACTTGAGCAACCATACACCACCATTCTAAAACCCTTCCGCCACCCTAAAACACCTTCACGCCTATCTCCCCTTCTTCCACCCTAAATCTTCTTTTGTGTCTTCCCTTTGGTGAACAAGATCAAGGGCAAGGTCTTCCCCTTCATACTCTACGTCATCCATGGAAGGAGGAAGCCATCATGCAAGTTAGAGAGAACTTGACCTATGAGAAGAGACCGGTAGCTGTAGTTGATCACAAGTTGAAGGAACTTAGAGGCAAGTCCATCAGCATGGTAAAGGTTCTTTGGGATACAGCTACTGGTGAGGCGACCTGGGAGGTGTAGAGTCAGTTCAAGGAACGATATCCATTCCTCATTTTAGGTAAGCCTATTTTTAGGGACACAAATTCCTGCTTGTTGGGGGGTATTGTAACTTAGTGAGTAGATTTCAGAGTTTAGTTGACTCTAGAGAGAGAAGTATATAAGGGTTTCTCTGAGAAGGGAACTTCATAAGTTCGTTCTTTAGAAAACATAGAAAGAAGTTTTAGAGAGAAAGACTCTGGGTCTGTGAGCTCCTTTCTCTCCCAAATTTCTCTGTCTGATTCCTCTTCTCTTCTAGATTACTAATCTCTTCTAGATTACTAATCTCTTCTATCCTCTCTTGGAATTCAGACTAGGAAGCTTGCTTTTGGTGGATTGAAGTCCGCGGGTCGACCTTCGGGAGGAAATTCTACTTCTTCTCAGTTCTTGGCCATTGTGAGCCAATCTTTAGGTAAGGAAAGCTAGAACATATGTTGTTTGGTTGCATGTGAGTTAAGAAACTCAATTGATGCATGAATTTTGAGAATCCATGGTTGGATTAGAGAAATTGCTCATTTTGGGGTTTTGGGCAAAAATAGGGTTTTTGGGTCATTTTGATGCATCGGGAGGGTGCATATTGAAATTGAGTTTGTTTTTGAGTTGTATGGAGCCCATGCATTGTATTTCTTGGTTTTCATGTGGTTGGTTTTTTTTATTTTTTTTATTTTTTTTTATTTTCAGGTGTTTGAGGAAATTTTTGAAGTTTTGGAGGCTGCTGTTTGAATTTGCGCCAGGCGCAGTTCTTGGCGCTGGGCGTGCATTTATCAGAGGAAACCATTTCAAACTCACGCTGACCACGAGGCTAGTCGCGCTAGACATGAATTGAAATGGAGGTCTCTGGATGAGTTCACGTCGGGCGTGAAAAGAACCTCGCCGGGCGCATTATTAGACAGTGGTTGGGTGAGGAATTTTACTAAGATGGCGTCGGGCGCAGGATTGATGCACTGGGCATGGAGAGACTCAGGATGGTCTCTAGTTGGAGCACGTTGGGCGCAAGGTGGGTGCACCGGGCGTGGAGACTCTAATGAGTCTCTGTTCCAAGGATGCCGACACAAGCTGAGCGTGTCGGGCGTGGATGAGTTTTAGAGCTCTCAGGTTGGATATTAGGCCGGTGATCGAAGCCGTATCCGGTCAAATAAAACAATTAAATGCAGTACTAGGAAGTTGTCCTAGTTCGTCTCCCAAGGACCATATTTTTTCTGTCAAAGGTTCATACACACACGAAGTGGGGGGGGCTTCGTTCAAATTTATCAGTTTATAACACAATAAAACGTAGGTAGCACAACAAATGAAAAACGGGTTGGCTCCCTGTTCAGATTGCAACTCTCTTATCCCTGGTTCTCAAAAGATTTCTCAGTTCATAACTTAATCCTTGTTCCATCCGAGTTAACCAACTAAGCGAAGATTAACTCAAGATTTCCCTACACGAATTAAGCAAACGTATACAACATTAAACCTCCCCACAAGATTAAGCAACCTATGAGCAACCTGATTCATTAAGCATGAACAGGTGTTGAAAACGGTTCAATGCAGAGGTTCAATGAAGAAGAAGAAGGCAGAACGTATATACGAATAAAACTCCAAATAGAGATTACAATCTGCTCAAGGAGCCAACCCCTAAGGGTTTTACCTTTCCATTCAACAGAAATGAAAACAAAAATGCAACGAAGAAGGAGAAGAAAATGAAACTAACAATCTGTATTCATTCAACAAAAAACTCAGTCTCAGAATACAACCAGCAAAACAAAACGTGACTGGAGAGCAAAAACGTGAAAAAATGGAGATACAAGAACAGAGAGCCAAAAAAACATTAAAACAAGGGAAGGAAGAACTCTCCAAAACGTGGTCACATCAGATTGTTAATATTAGTGGCTGCCAAGTCAGCCATAACCTAGACTCTTATGACCTAAAACGAAATTGGCCCCCCCTCTGGATGTGTATGGCCCGAAAATGAATAATACAAGGTTAACAAAAAATGTAAGCATGTTGTTGATCTGGCGCTGATGTGGCACTGTAGTGCTGACATGGCGCTGATGTGTCGCTTTATCTCTTGAAGTCCAAAATTAATATCCAAGCCCAAAAATGCTCCACAATTAACCTGAAAATAATTGATAAATAAAAATTAGACCAAGTGAATCAGAATTAATTAAAATTCAAATTACTGGCCCAATGAAGCCCAAACAGTAAAACTGTACAATTAATAAGCGATTAAGCCCAAATCAACAATTAAAATAAGTACAGAAAGATAAATAAATAGGGGAAAATAATGACTCATCAGTCGGGCGCGAGATGGTTGCACCGGGCGTGAGTATGTTTAATAATGTTGATTGATAATGATGCTTATGCATGTTTAAAGTTGGAGATTTTGATCATGTATGGATGATATATGATGTATGGTGGTGTATGATTCATATGTATGCTTGGTAATGGTATGTATGAATGTTTAAATATGATATGACATGTGTATATGTTCATATGAGAATAATATTGATCATGATGGTGGATAGACCATGTATGATGTATGATGCATTATTGCGTGTGATGCCTTATGGCATGTGTCTAGCCTAGGACTTGAGGAGAGGATAATATTTTCGAACTGGAAGAGCTCACATAAAGTCTCTTGAGAGTGGTGCTTGGATATGCCACTAATATAAATGCAAGTGGTGCGCTTAGATAGGCCATTGGTTTTGGGTGAGAGTGGTGCTCAGGTAGGCCATTAGTTTGGGTGAGTCTCCTCTGAGTCCTTAGCTAGTGTTGAAGCGGAGTATGAGGTCGAGGATTATCTTAACCAAGTACTAGGGAAGGTGCGTGGTTCCATGCAATAGTTGGTAGGCGAACTCCACAAGTGACTTGGTAATGCATGCCAAGGTCGTGGTAAGCCTATACCCAATTGTGCTATACTTGACGGTGGAACTGACTTCCAAGTGTTTAAGTGACATCATCCGAGTAAACTCGAGTGAGGATTTATATCCTGCTTAGTTGTGACCGAACGGGCGCATTGGGCGTGAAAACGGTTGGGGTGGTTTCGGTAGGATTGGGATGTCACTTATACTGCTCTGCTGTTAAGGAGATGTCCTAGGTGTATGTGTGACGATGCATTAAATGATTGATATGCATTGATATCTGTCATGAGTTGCATTTTGTTGCATGATTGCTATTATGATGAAACGTATGATGTTTGACTTCATGATTGATAGTTAGATGATTGTCTAGTATGGATTATTGTTTTATACTTGTATAGTTACTTTTTGAACTCTAGCTTACCCTTCTGTTTCCATGTTGATAGACTGCGATGATCATACTATGTATGGGAGCAGGTCAAGGTTAGGTTGGAGCTGGTTGCTGTGACCGCTTCGGGACGAGGAGTTTTGTCCTCATGTTAGAGTTACCATTTTGGGTAACTGTTTTGTCTATGCTTGACCGGCACTAGGGCGATATTATTTTTGGGATGACTATACATATATGGTGTTAAGTTTTGTACATAGAAACTTAGTTATTATATATATATATATATATATTAACTTTTATGTATGAGTTATCTAGTTTTAATATTTCTTAGTTCACTAGTAGTTGTGCAATTCTATTAAATGTAGAGATCATGGCAGTTCGTTACAAAAAATGTGTTGAAGAGAGTTAAAAAAAAAGTACATTACAAGCCCTACTTTTTCTTAAATAAATAAATGTAAGCTGAGCTTGAGAATCATCAACATGACATCAATGATAATAAATCATAAGATTTATGTAGAAAATAGTACAATTATTTTTTATGAGGACTAACTCTTATCACCATGAAATTATCATTTAAACTATTAACTCACTTAATTTTTTTATATAACCTTATAATTAATTATTTTTTAAATGATTATATAATTTTTTAATATATTTTTTTTATACAATAATAATATAAAATAAATAATATAATATTAGTATATTTTATTTAAAACATTTTCCATACAAAAAAAATATAAATTTTATAATGTTAAAATAGATAATATAATATTATTTGGGTATAAAAAAAAGTTAAAAAGGAAATAAAGTAAAAGAAATGATTGTATATTTATTTATTGTATTAAATTTTATAAACATTAAATATGGAATTTATAAAATAATTAAATCAAGTAATAATGTTATATATAATATAATTTTTAAGTTATAACTTAAAAAATTAAGTTAGTGAATTAAATGGTAAATTTTACGGTAAAGGTTATGAGTTTTAATTAGGAATGATAATAAGGTCTCGTGGGAGTAATAGGGTACCCATTCCTGTTCCATTATATTGAATAAAAATCTATCTCGTATCTATGCATAGATATCAGTAAATTTTATAAATACTCGTAGATATCTATAATGATCTATGGCTATTTTTTATTTTTTTGAAAATATTTTGAAAATATTAAATAAAAAGTATTACATATAATTTTTAAGCTAATAAAAAATAATATTGTTTGTTACAAAAAAGCCAACCAAATTAAGTAATTGTCAAATAGTGTCACATACGAACATGACAACATTATTTTATTTAATTTTTCATGATATATCGATAATAAACTAATATTATTTAATTTTAAAATTTAGAAAAACTAAATCTGCAATAAAAAAAAAATTAAAGAACCAAAATTTGCACATTCCCAATTATAAAGAACAAAAATAGAGTTACACCCTGAAAGGAATTTTTTTTTAAACAGAATTGCAATTGCCCTTGTATTATAACACAATGAGAAAATAAATCATGGAAATTAAAAATAACATCATCTTGAGGTTTCCCACAGTATTTAATAGTATATATGAATTAAAGTCAACAAACAGTAACACTAAACAAAATGAAGAAAAAGGGCAACTCAGTTAATGACGGTGATTGAAGGCTTGGTGAATCCTGCTTTCTTCTTCATCCTCTTCCTCATATTGAGACAACCTTGAGAGTTGAAGAGGCTCCAAACTGTGTGATGAGGGTGCTGTCTCCATTGCAAGGTTAAAGCCAGAGTTATTGGTATTGAAGTTGCTCAAGTTCATGAGGTTGGTGGAAGCACATGAGTTGTTGGAGTATGTTGGTTGCAGTGCTGCTGCATTCATGTTTGGTTGTTGCATTTGTGTGGTCTGAAGAGCACTTGCATAGGCAAATCTACTGTTCATCAGCTGAGTTTGAAACATAGACAACTCTGCTTGCAAAGATGCCACCTGAATTGGATAAAATTTGAGCTTGAAGTTTTGGTTAATTGAAAAAAAAAATACTTTTTTAATTATACAAATGATATTATATTTTTTACTTTCTTTTATAATTTTAAAAATTTGTATAAAAGGAAATACTTATAAAAACTTTTAAAAGATAAATAAAAAGTGACATTTTTTAATTATAAAATAAAAAATAAATTTTTTAATCATAATATTGGTGTCGAGTATATTTACTGTTAAAAGTAATGACTAATATCTATGTAAAGAACCATAAACATACACAAATTAAATATTCCATATCCAAGATCAAAATTTTAACTCTGAACAACTTAGTTAAAGAATATAAGTCATTACTATTTGTGTTAACTAATAATTTAAATTTCTTGAATATAAGATAAATTTAATTTTAATTCTTCAAATTTAAATCTATTCTCTTTAGCTCATGTAATTTTATAAAGAATATTATTTTAGTTCTCCATTTCAAATGTTGTTAATAAATCCATCAAACAAAATTCACTTATAACTAAATGTGTCCTACAATTGACTAAATCTATCATTAATTGTGATGTTATGAATAGTCTCGAGAGAGACTAAAATAAACATTTTTAAAATTATAAAAATAAAATATTAATTTTAAATTTGAAAATAAAAAATAAAATTATTTTAAATTTGAAGGATTCAACACTTAAGAATGTAAAGAAAAATGTATCACAAATTAAACAAGTATTCTAATTCATGTTATATTTTTTTTCTTTCTCGTTTGTTATTCTGTTATTTCCGGGAAGAAATTTAAAGTAATACAATAAGTTTTAGAGTAATTGTAGACATACGAGACGAGAGAAACACCCCATTTTATATATTATGAATCTCTTTAGATTATATAATAATAACTAAGTTATTTGTGATCCAACTGATATATATATATATATATATATATATATATATATATATTCTTTTTTTTTTCCTTATCCTTTTTAAAAATCAGACATATGAATGACATGATCTTGACTAACCTATAATTTAGGCACTAAAGAAAACGTTTTTTAAGAGCCCCTTGTTCAAAACTTGGTAAAGAAAATATATTAATAATTTATTATATATCAACTGAAAGTATTGTTATTATAACAACTCAAAGAATTAAATATAGCGTGACGTTTATATACTAGTTTTTTCTTTATCGTATTACCTATGTACTTCTAATTGAAAAGTTTTAAATTACTAGAGTTTGTCTAATGATTGGGTGGAGAGGACTTAGGATATTTAGAAACATGAAGATCTAAGTTTAATTTTCATTGTGATCATTTTTGTAATCTTTCTCATCTTTATAAAAAAATAAAAATAAAAGTATCAGTTAAAAAAGTTTAGTACGAAGAATATTTCAGGAAAGCTACAAAAAAATGTTTACGTGACATTCATGAAATTAAACTGAAGCAAAAATCACGGACTCTCGTAAGTTGCAAAATACGAAAGATATATCATAAACGGAAACCGTTCAGTCGTATCATATTCATGAATTCTTTTTGTAACATTTAGTATTTTTATGAATAAATAGTAATATATGTATAGGTGTAAAGTACATTAACCAAGGAATTTTATTTATATTGATTATTGGATAAAAAAATATGTATATCGATTATTATCCATTAGCCGATCTCGAATTTTATAAATAAAAAAATATTATGTAATTATATAATTAAGTTTGTTAATTTTTATAACAATAAATTTAATTTCAATCGATCGACTTATATATTTATATCTTTATATAACTCTTTTTAATTATAACATTATTTTTTTAATTCATAACATTTTTCGTTATGAAATGTTATTTTTCATTTTAAAGATAAGAAAATTTGAGTTCTTTGTGGATTACCATAATTTGTTGTTGAAAAAAGATTATCTGGAATTTTTATATCAGTATTTAATCATGATTTTTATATATTTTAGCATTATTTACTTTTATAAAAATTAATTTAAAATTTATATCTACAATAATTTTAGTTGATAAAAATATAAATCTTTTATAATGATAAATAATAATATAAAATAAAATTTAACCAATTAAAAAAATATATAACACTAAACAGAAGCTGCAAATTAAGTGATAAGTATTCCAATTAATTAACCTACCTGTAGTTTAGCCGTGATAGATAAAACCACATTATTCACAATATATATATATATATAATTTTTTTACTTTAAAAATCATGAAAACAAAAATACCTGTTGTTGCAAAGCAAGTATGGTAGACACACAACCATAAACCGGATCAGACAGCCTTGCCTGAGCCTCATAGGATATGGTTGTTGCCGCCTCATGGCGGAGGTTCGCCGGAATGCTGTGCAAGAGCTTTGAGACATTGCTAGCTCCGAAAACTTTGTGCACAGCTGCAAACTTGGCTGCACCTTGGTCAGTTCCAAAGTGGGGTGCAAAGATGCACCCTCCAATGCACTTCCTCCTCAAGAACTTGCAAGCTCCACATGGTGTCACTGGTGAAGGTACCACAAATGCTTCCTCTTGCAATGTTGTTGTTATGACACGCCTTGAAGTGGCGCCTCTTCGTCGGCTTCCAGAGGCGCTACTATTATCATTGTCACCACTATCATTACTACGCTCGGCCATGGTAATAAATAGTTAATTTGTCTACTATTGGGGATGATAGAGAGAATGAAGTGGAGTTGATACATATATGGGGGTGTTGTGGGGGAGTGCACGTTGGTCTTGTGAGTGGGTTGGCAAGGTGAATGTGGTGAGAGTTTTGTTGTTTGAGAAAGAAAACGTTTGAGGTTGGTGAGGGAGTGTGAAGGAGCACGTGCATATGTGGTGAAATTGTTGTTGCTGTTGGCATGTTTGTTAGATTGTATGTATATAATATTAAGGTTGTGATGAAAGAGTTGTTGTGTGAAACTTTGAAAAAGGTTGTCTTTGTGGGGAATGCACAAGAACTGCGAAGTCTTTGTTGCTCTTCGCGTGTGGGATGGTAGAACCAGACGTGCATGGTTCTCGTGGCTAGAGACACTCATCCAAGATTACTCCTTTTTGTTTTCTTTTTCATTTTTATTTTCTTTATTTTTTTTCATCTTTAAATAATAGAATATTAATTAATAAGGACAATTGTAAGCCAACAAGAATGAGTTTGGGAAGGCGGATGGAACTCAGAGTGAGACTATGTATGAATGAACATGTGAACTGGATGATTGAATGTTATTATATATATATAGCTAGTGTGGATACATGTGTTATGCAGAAATATATATATATATATATATATATATATATATATATATATTT